GATTGATCCTATAGCGGAATCTCCTGAACAACCTACCCAAGAATGGAATAAGGGAGAAGTATGTACATATAACATTCTAGTTATAGATCCAACTGAAGGTTTTAATAATGTATCACTAAAAGGCATGGAAGACAATTCCAAAGATAGCTGGAAGGAAGAGATGTCAGAAATGAAGGATCAACTTCAAGCTTTACAAGGTCCAGTCACCTGGGATCCCTTAAGATTGGCGAACTTTGCTTACCACCGAAAGTGCCTATTCTAAAAAAATTTAAAGTACCAAAGTTCATCAAGTATGATGGTAGTGGTGATCCTGAATATCATTTGGTTACTTATTGCATAAAAATGTCAGTTTGGTCAAGGGAAGAAAAGTTCCCCATCAATTTCTTCCAGGAAAGTCTCACAGGGAGTGCATTAAGGTGGTTTATGAAATTTGATTGCGCCAAATATAAGAAATGGGGCGATTTGGTTAGGGCATTCATGAAATAATACAAGTTTAACCTAAGTATAGCCCCAACAAGGGAATAATTAGAAGGGATGAAGAAGAAAGCTAATGAGACTTTTAAGGAATGTGCCCAAAGATAGAGATCAATTACTTTCGAAGTTCAACCTCCTTTAATTAAGTCTAAATTATGAACCTATTTTGTTAATGCTCTATTTGATCCTTATCATAAGATTATGTTAGGAACACAGGCTCGAGATTTTTTTGATCTTATTGAAGTAGGTGAACGAATTGATACAAGCATACAGAGAGGAAGATTAGAAAATACACCCTCAGAAGCCAAGAAAGCATAAGTGGGGAAGAAAAGGAGGGAGACATCAATTATGTGCAAGGACCCTACCAACAATCCTTCAATCACGTCCATAACCCTTTGTATTCTCAACCAAACAACTTTGCATAGTTTGATTCAACACGGCCAAGGGTAGAATTTTATCATGCTCCTCCAAATGCTCAATTTAATCATTAAATAGGTAATCAACACCATAGTGGAGTAAGACCAGTAAGGCCACCTCGGGACGAGTGCCCGTTACTAAACTTTAATGTTACATGGACAAAGTTGTATAAAGATTTAGTTGCAAAGAATCTTATAGGGCCTTAACCTATTAAACCTCTCCAACCACCTTTCCTAGCTTGGTATGATCCGAATGCAACATGTGAATACCACATGGGGGTGGCTAGCCACTCTATTGACAAATGTGATGCTTTTAGAAGAGATGTGCTTGTTCTATTAGATAACAATCATATTGGGTTTAAGACAGGTAACAATCCTAATATCACCACCAATCTTCTACCTGAGCATGAGAAAGGAAAGGCAGTTTCCATGATAGATAATGACATTAGCCTCTCAAAAGCAGTAGAGGACATTCCTTACACCATGAAGCAGCTTTATGAGCACTTAAGAGAATTGGGCTACATCCAACAAAGCTTTAGGAGCAATGAAAGAACTTCTCAAGTTATGCTTGATTTTTATGAATATCACCAAGAGGTTATAGGTCATGACATTGAAAAATGTATTCCCTTCAATGAGTTGGCTCAAAAAATGATGATATTAGGGATTGTGGTCATTAATAGAAAAATACAAGAAATGTATGTGCATTAGATGGGAAGGTTACATATTTTGTAATCAATAAGAAGTCGTAAGCTACAGAAGGAGAAAATTCATCCTTTTCAACAAATAAGCCAATTTATAAAGTGAAGGAATCAGCAAAAAAATCCTTTTTGCTTATCGGCAAAACATCTCATAATGTTAGTGATAGGAAGCTTTTTGCTCTCCTCTATATACCAGCACCATTCCCATATCATAGCAATCATGCTATACTTTGGAATTATGGCTTAAGAATTAAAGGCCCTTGCGATCAAGGGACACTAAACAAAGCTAGTAATGTTGACATTACTATTGGTGGAATTACATGAAGTGGTCGAATTTATGCCGACGAAACCTATATGCCAGGGGGTAAGTGTTTAAAAGTTAGAGAAAGCTCAAGCACTAAAGAATTTACCATAAAAGGCAAAGAAGAAGAGACAGATGAATTTTTAAAGATCATGAATAAAGCAAATATAACATTGTGGAACAATTAAATAAGACCCCGGCATGAATTTCAATATTATCCCTCATTTTCAATTCTGAAGTACATTAAAAGGCTTTACAAAAGGTTTTAAATGAAGCTTATGTGTGCCCAAACATAACTCCTGAGAAAGTGGTTAATCTGGTTAATGCTGTGAAAAACTCTACATTGATTACATTCTCTGAAGATGAAATCTTCCCGACAGCTTCTCAACGCCCAAAGGTGCTCCATATTACTTTGAAGTGCCATGGTTATGTAATAGCCAAAGTTTTGATTAATGGAGGTTTTGCCTTAAATGTCTTACCTCAATCTACCATGGAACTTTTACCTATTGTTGCATCTTGTATGAAACATAGCGACGTGGTAGTTAGGGCATTTGATGGGATAAGACGAGAAGTCATAGGTAATGTCTACCTTCCATTGCAAACTAGACCAATTACTTTTGTAGTAGAATTTCAAGTTATGGAGATCGATGCTGCATGTACCATGTTACTTGGTAGACCCTAGATTCATGATGCTGGAGCTGTACCCTCGACTCTACACCAAAGACTTAAATACATTGATGATGGAAGACTTATTACTATAAGAGGAGAAGAAGAACTGATAATTAGTAAGCCAAGTATGGTGCCTTATATTGAGAATACTGAGCAATCATTTGAAAATGCATATCAAAACTTTAAGTTGTTGAGATTAACCAGTCAAGTAAGGAGATGAATCAAGTCATGGCTAAGATCATGAAGAACCATGGATTTAAGTCGGGAAAAGGATTAGGAATAAAATTGCAAGGGATGAAAAAACTAATAGGATTCCCAGAAAACCCAAAACATCAAGGTCTAGGATATGAGCCTTCTTTGGAAGCATCAATGACAAGGCAAATGAAGTTGAAGAAAGGAAAGAAGCAAGATAAGCTGGAAATCCCACATATTCATGAAACATTTCCATCACCTACAGAGATAATCAATCCAAATGGTTTTATAGCTATGATGAGTGAAGAAGACAAAGGAAGCTCAAAGGAGGTATGGATACATCCAAACATACCAGGAAGAGAGTTGGGCAACTAGGAATTTAAGGAGATTGTTGATGTCATGTCACTAAAGTAATATTTCAATGTGTTGTTTCACTTTTTAGGTTAATTTGTGTACTCCTGAACTTTATTTAAAGAATGAATGCAATATTTTATTTTTTTCTTTGTTTTCTCTCTTTACGCTTTCCTTATTTTCCTCCTCGTCATTTCATTCATTTTCTTTCTTTCTTTCTTTTCTTTCATTCTTCACTCTTTCTCTCTCCATCCATAGTATTTTTCTCATATTCTTATTTGCACCTTATATGCATAAATACTCATTCACCTTGCACGATAATTTTCTAGGGAATTAGAATTCTTGGGACTCATATCTAACTCATTAGTTCCTGAGCATAGTTTGAATGAACCATGTTTCACTATGAATACATATGACTATGAAACTGATGAAGATAAAGAAGCGCCCCTCATCTTTACAAAAATAATACAATATTCTGAATAAGGCATCATACCACATGAGGAGTCAATTGAAATTGTAAATTTAAGGACATAGGAAGATAAAAAGGAGTTAAAAATTGTTGATAATCCAGAGAAAGAAGAGATGATTAGTTTGTTTCGAGAGTACCTTGATGTGTTTGCGTAGTCATACTTGGATATGCCAGGGATTGATTCAGAGATTGTTGCTCATAGGCTACCTTCAGATCTTGATAATAAACCTAAGAAGCAAAAATTGCAAAGAATGAGCCCCGATATGTCACTTAAAATTAGAGAAGAAGTAAAGAAACAATGGGAAGTCAGATTCTTATAAGTAGTCAAATATCCACAATAGGTTGCAAACATTATTCTAGTACCAAAAAAGGATGGACGAGTTAGAATGTGTGTGGATTATAGGGACTTGATTCATGCTAGCCTTAAGGATGACTTTCCTTTACCGCATATTGATGTCCTTGTGGATAATATAGCACATAGTTATAGATATTCCTTTATGGATGGTTATTTAGGATACAACCAGATTCCTATACATGTGGAGGACAAATATAAAACTACTTTCATTACACCTTGGGGTACCTTTTGCTATAAGGAGATGCCCTTTGGATTAAAAAATGCAGGTGCAACTTATCAGTGAGCTATCGTAGCACTATTTCATGATATGATGCATAAGGAGATTGAGGTGTATATGGATGACATGGTAGCTAAGTCTGCTGAAGATGAAAGCCATGTAGTAGTTCTTAAAAAATTGTTTGAACACTTGCGTAAATACAAGCTCAAGTTAAACCCTAATAAATGCATATTTGGAGCCTCATCGGGAAAATGTTAGATTTTATTATCAATAAGAAAGGCATAGAGGTAGATCCTGACAAGGTTAAAGCAATTCGCAACATGAGGCCGCCACAAATAGAGAAAGAAGTTCGCAGCTTCTTAGGGTACTTGAATTATATATCTAGATTCATAGCCAATTTAACTGCTACTTGTGAGCCACTTTTTAATTATTATAAAAAGGTGATATTGACAAGTGGAATAAACATTGTCAGCAAGCTTTTAACAAGATTAAGGACTACTTATTGAAACCTCCACTATTAGTACCTCCAACACCTGGTTAGCCTTTAATCCTTTACTTAACCATAAAACCTACATCTATAGGTGCAATGCTGAGGTAACTTGATGAAGCCGGCAAAAAGGAAAAAGTAGTTTATTATTTGAGCAAAAAGTTCACTGATTGTGAATCATACTATTCACTAATTGAAAAGACATGTTGTGATTTAGTATAGGTTACTCAACAGCTAAGGCAATACATATATATTATACCATATGGTTGATTTCATAAATGGATCCAATAAAATTTATTTTTAAGAATCCTCACGTGTCAGGTCGAGTTTTCAAGTAGCAGGTAATACTCTCGAAATATGATATGAAATACATGACTTGTAAGTCAATCAAAGGAAGTATCATTGCGGATTATTTGGCAGCAAATCCTATAGAGGAATACCAACCTATAAATTTTCAATTCCCCGGTGAGAAGGTTCTTATGGCAGAAGAGGAAGAACAAGGGGAAGAGAAATGGAAGATGTATTTTGATGGGGTAGTGAATATTTATGGAAGTGGATTAGTAGTATTGGTATCCCTAGAGGGTAGACAATTCCCATTAGCCATCAAATTAGGCTTTGACTGTACCAATAATATGGCTGAGTATGAAGTATGTTTAAATGGCTTACAAGCTACCGTGACATTAGGCATTAAGGAACTTGATGTTTTCGAAGATTCCGCTCTTGTTATTTATCAAGCAACTGGTGAGTGGCAGACTAAGGATTCCAAGTTAATTCCATATCAAAAATATCTCACCCAGTTGATTAATAAATTTGACAAAGTGAGATTCCACCATTTATCTCGTGATAAGAATCAATTCGTTGATGCTTTAGCGATACTAGCTGTCATGGTTAAGCTGGATTGTGGAATTCATGTTCAACCAATTAGGATTGAGGCTAAAATTAATCTTGCATATTGCTTGAATGTTGAAAATGAAATGAAGGCACATCCATGGTTCCATGATATAAAAAGTTACATAAAAAAGCAAAGAATACCCTTTGGAAGCAACGGAAAATGACAAGAAGACTATTCGATGTATGGTAATGAATTTCTTCCTTAGTAGGGATATACTATATAAAAAAACTTTTGATGGTACATTGCTTCGGTGTGTTGACTCAAAGGATACATGAAAAATTTTAGAATAGGTTCATGAAGGAATATGTGGAACTCATGCTAATGGCCATACTATGGCCAACCAAGTTCAAAGACATGGTTATTTGTGGCTAACTATAGAAAGAGATTGCATTGAATATGTCAAAAAGTGTCATAAATGCCAAATTTATGCTGATCGAATGCATGCCCCACCTCAACCACTTTATAACCTTATGCCCCTTGGCTTTTCTCTTTATGGGGACTTGATGTTATTGGTCCAATCAATCCTAAGGCCTTAAATGGGCACCGTTTCATCCTTGTAGCTATTGATTATTTCACAAAGTAGATAGAGGCTGCTTCTTTTGCTAGCATTACCCAAAAGGCCTTTCTTAGGTTTTTGAAAACAAATATTATCTATAGATATGGCCAACCAGAATGGATTATTACAAACAATGCACCTAATTTGAATGGGATTGAAGTTCAGAAGTTGTGTGAACAATTCAAGATTAAACACCATAACTCCGTACCATATCGACCTCAAATGAATGGGGTAGTTGAAGTAGCTAATAAAAATATTAAGAAGATCATTGGAAAGATGACAATCACATATAAAAATTGGCATGAGATGCTTCCCTATGCCCTTTATGGGTATTGCACGACTATGCGTGTGTCAACCGGGGTAACACCTTACTCATTGGTATATGGCATGGAGGCTGTGACTCTAATTAAAGTAGAGATACCCTCAATAAGGGTGGTCATAGAATTCGTGTTAGAAGAAGATGAATAGATTAAAACTTGATTTGAGCAATTGAATATGATAGAAGAAAGACGATTAATAGCCATATGTCATGGGCAATTATACCAAAGGAGGATGGTAAAGACTTTTAATAATAAGCTGCGTCCAAGAGAATTTAAGCCAAGGGACCTAATCTTGAAAAAAATCCTTCCGAATCAGGAGGATTGCCGAGGTAAATGGGCTCTTTCATATGAAGGCCCTTATATTGTGAAGCAGGCCTTTTCAGGAGGCGCCCTTATTTTGGTAGATATGGAGGGTTAAGAATTATCAAAACCTATAAATTCAGATGTTGTGAAGAGGTATTTTGCTTAAAGCTAAAGTACCTTCTAGGTTGAAAACCAGAAAAGGAAACCTAGGCAAAAGTTAAGGCAAAAAAAAAAAGATCAAATAAAGAAGATGCTTGCTAGGTTGAAAACCCAAAAGGGCATCAAGGCTAAAAAAAATAGAGAGAGATCAAACAAGATGCCTGCTAGGTTGAAAATTTGAAAAGGGCACCTAGGCAAAAGGTAAGGCAAAAGAAGGGAGATTTAAGTAAAGTTATGGCAAATTGAAATATTGTATCAAGGGGTTAGAAAGACTGGTGTTTTGCTGGAATGAGGTAGACAGATGCTTCACATAATCAATTCTTACCACATATGTTCATAGTGACATAGAAGTTTGTTGCAAATGTTGTAAAGGATCCAATGAGGAAACTTCTTTCGTCTCAATCTTTTTATTATTATTATTCTTTTGAGATTCCTCCTGTTAAATTTCTCTCATTCTTGTGACTCCAAGTGGTTTATTCAGTCGATAAACTAACTTTTCATGAAGTATAATCTCTTATTTAATCCTCATTGCATTCTTTCTTGTTCATAAAATTAGCCTTATTAGAGACACAACACTTTACATTATACTTTTTACATGTGATACAAGACTCTCTCCCTTCTTCCCACAAGTTTCAACAATAAAGGTTTTATTCTTGAAGTGTTGGAAAAATTAGATGCATGTACTTTATTCGAGTTGCACTAGATTCCTTTATCCAGCTATCCTATATGTTGTCATTAAATATTGAGAATGAGTTAGTTAAATGAAATGATTACAAAAAGAAATGATATCTACTACCTAGCGTGAGGGCCTATGTTATCACCGTTTTTATTATTGTAATTATTATTATTATTATTTCTTTATAAGAAATTTAATAAAAATAAATGAAAAAAATGATGAAAAAAAAATCAACAAAAGAAGGAAGCAAGAGAGAGAGGATACATAATAAAACTATCATTACAAATAGTATATCAATTTATAATTCAAAGCCCTGTAAAGACAGGCACTCACTAAAAGCCCTACATGGGTAGGCACTTCCTTACCGTTCAAAGCCCTGTAAAGACAGGCACCCACCAAAAGCCCTACATAGGTAGGCACTTCCTTATCTCTCAAAGTTCTATAAAGACAAGCACCCACCAAAAGCCTTACATGGGTAGGCACTTCCTTATCGCTCAAAGCCCTGTAAAGACAAGCATCCACCAAAAGCCCTACACGGGTAGGCACTTCCTTACCGCTCAAAGCCCTATAAATACAGGCAGCCACCAAACGCCCTACATGAGTAGGCACTTCCTTACCACTTAAAGCCTTGTAAAGAAAGGCACCCACTAAAAGCCCTACATGGGTTAACACTTCCTTACCGCTCAAGGCCTTGTAAAGATAGGCACTCACCAAAGCCCTACTTGGGTAGGCACTTCTTTACCGTTCAAAACCGTGTAAAGACAGGCACCCACCAAAAGCCCTACATGGGTAGGCACTTTCTTACTACTCAAAGCCCTATCAAGTCAGGCATACACCAAAAGCCTTATATGGGTAGGTACTTCCTGACCGTTCAAAGCCCTGTAAAGATAGGTACTCACCAAAAGCCCTACATGGGTAGGCACTTTCTCACCGTTCAAAGCCCTGTAAAAATAGGCACTCACCAAAAGCCCTACATGGGTAGGCACTTCCTCACCGTTTAAAGCCTTGTAAAGATAGGCACCCATGAAAAGCCCTACATGGGTAGGCACTTCTTTATCATTTAAAGCCCTGTAAAGATAGGCACCCACCAAAAGCCCTACATAGGTAGGCAATTCCTTACTGTTTAAAGGCCTATAAAGACAGGCACCCACCAAAAGCCTTACATGGGTAGGCACTTCCTTACCACTCAAAACCTTGTAAAGACAAGCAGCCACCAAAAGCCCTACGTGGGTAGGCACTTCCTTATCACTCAAAGCCCTATAAAGACAGGCACCTACTAAAAGCCCTACATGGGTAGGCACATCCTTCCCACTCAAAGCCCTGTAAAGATAGGCACCCACTAAAAGTACTACATGGGTAGGCACTTCCTTACCACTCAAAGCCTTATAAAGAGAAGCACCTACCAAAAGCCCTACATGATAGGCACTTCTTTACCACTCAAAACCCTATAAAGATAGGCACCTGCCAAAAGTCCTACATGGATAGGCACTTCCTTACTGCTCAAAGCCTTATAGAGAAAGATTCTCTTAGATGGATAACAAAACATATATTTCTTTCTTCATTCTTAGGAATATCATCTCATGAAATCCTCACTTAGAAAAGCAAATGGAGATAGGCTTCTAGCTAATATATATTTTGTTTGGATCATGATCAATTGTTTGCAGCATCTTTCTATGTTTTACTTGATCATTTTCATCACATCACCTCATCATATTGCTAAAAATAATAATAATGTCATTGTGTCTTACATTTAATCATATCTTATCGTGTCAGGGGCAATTAAGTCTTTTCATAGGTATTACATGGCTGACTAAAATACATGTTCTATCTTTACTTGCCACTTAGTAAGAATTCAAATCCACACTTTTTCATATACTTACATAAGAAACATGTAAAGAGGGGCAACTGTGAACACAGTAGTATTTGTCCGGATATTTTTTTATTTAATAAAAGTAATAATAAATAACCAAAAATATATATAAATACAAAAAAAAATGAAATGAGATTTAATCCTTTTTTAGGATTATAAATCTTTTAAAATCTCTCCCAATTTATCTCAACTATCTAAAGATATCGAGAATTAACTTTTTGAGACCTAACTATTCTTAAATTTCTCTTCTCAAATTTTTTATTTTTCATTAAAAAATATATATAATTTTTTACCTCTTAATCCAATTTCAAAAAGGATAAACATTTTAAAAAAAAGAAAAGAAAAAAGAAACCTAATTAAAGGCTAGCTGTACATGTCACCCACAGCCAAAATGAAAAAATAGAGAGAAGAAACAAAGCCTCCAGTGTTACATGTTACAACACAAAGAAAAGCAAACAGAAACAGTACACACGAAACACAGAAGCAAGGCAGAGAAATGCTGAAACATTAAAAAAATAGAGAGAAACAGATCCTCTTCAGCTAGCCACAATAGCCTGCATGCACAAAATACACACAGAAAGAAAGCAGAAGCATGGACACAGAAGACAGGAAAAAGAGAACATACACACACATACACTTTCAGCTGAGTACAGAAAAGGCAAAATAGAGCAAAAGGAGCAATAAGAAACCAGAACACGTGCGCGCGTACACACACACACACACTTTCAGCCAGAAGGAGAAAAAGAAATAGAACCCAGGAACGCATGCATGCATGCAGTAGGTGGAAGAATAGAGAAAGAAGACTAGAACATCATACACACAAAAGACGAAGACAGGGGAGGTTAGGTGCATGAAAACACAGTGATAAAAAGGGGAAAAAGTAGAAACAGAGAGAAGGCGAGATAGTAGTTGAAGTGTGTAAAGAGCAAACAATAGGTAAATAATCATGACTTCAAAAAAAGCATCCCTCATATCCTCTATATAAAGCTAAGACAAAGAAAGAGAGAGAGGGCACAGACGAAAGCATTATACCAAGAATAAGGTGGAAAGAAGAGCATCGAGACTGAGAGGAAGATACAAACAGAAGGGACACAGATGGAGGAGTTGTTTTGGCTGGAAAAACAGGAGAAAATAGAGAGAGAGTTGAGAGGGGAAGAGATGAAAATGAAACCAGAAGCTGACATTGAAAAGAAGAAGCACACAGTAAACGTATAAACAGAGCATGCACCGGCAGTGGCTTATCAGATGAAGGATGTAAAAATTCTTGCATGCATTAAGA